ATTGTTGACATTGCCGGAAATTCGTTTTTTTCGCATTGAAAATTTTCTTCACCAACGTGCAATGGATCACCTTGTTTCCTTTCAAATAAACCTCCTCATCCATAGTTGTCCCCAAATTGGAATATAAGCGAACCAAAACAGACGTTTCAAACGTTCGAGAATTCCCTAAATCCAAGTCTCCAACAGTTATTTTCTGTAAAACATTTCACTTCCGCCCGAAATGTCAGCCTTACTTGTTTTATATGTGTCCTTTTTATTCACTATAATCAATTCTGAAGTGATATTTCGGCGTTTACCTGAATGATGCACACAATTTGCATGTCTCCTTCCTTATCTCGGACACGGATATGATTACCTCTTCCAGCCACCACTAACTGTGGATATTTCGAGTGTTTATTGGTCGTCACCTTAACGAGTTTATGGTTTCTGTCTAGACATTGCCGTAAGCAAGCCGAAAACTTTGTCATCTCTTTGATCGATAGAGAAAATTTTGGGTAGTTAGTTTGAACCCGTTCACTTAAAGGACCTAATGGAGGGTGTGGGACACATCTGACTTGAGCACTCAGGATTCGGAAGCAACTGGAACTTTTCCGCATCATTCATTCACTCCAACCATGCTTTATAGAAGCTTTGGTTGTTGTACACCTAGATACGAGTCCTGTTCGCACTCACTTTTGTCGTATTTGAACTAGACATTTATCAGCTTTGGTTTCTTTATTATCCAGGCATAATACCAAACAGATAATGAACATTTCAACATTTAAGTTGAAGAATAAGCAAATGAATGGCTTGTACTCCAAAGACCAGCTTTGCGTTTCTGCATTCCGTTTAGTTGTACAACCAATTGAAGATCGCCGTCCATGAACAAGGTGAGCGCATATGGTAATATCGAGGCTCTAGGTAATCATTAAATGACTTAGTCAAGACTAGTGTCCTCCAGACACAACGCACCCACGCAACTCTAGTTACAGACAACCTGCGAGCAGGCCCTTCGAGTCGGCACCTCCCAAACAGTGCGATCAAACAGCAGTGTCGCAATAAACACTCGAGCAATCTCCCATATTGTGTCTCAAGTATGGGATAAGCTTAATTGAATTATCTCGGATTGGTTTTTGCGCTGACGAAATCACGCAAAATTTGATGATGAGTGGCCCATAATCCGATTTTAATGGAATACACGTTGACAACCGATTGATCAAGCAATTAACACCAAGGGTCAAATAATAATAAAGGAAGGATCAAAGCAACTATATCCGTCTCATATTCTCATTTGCGAGTTTAGCCGCCTTCTCATATGGTGGGATACATAAGTAGTGATCGATAACACATAAGTGGATTTAGAATAATTTTTCACTGCACCATGTGGAGAGAACAGAGGCGGCCTGAGTTCATAATACTGGTAGGATCCTGGCTGTCAAAAAAATTATTCATGCATTACGAAAACGATCTTTGTCCTTTTGGCGTCGTTGCCATGTGTGTGCATCAATAGACAAAATCTGAGTGCTTAAGGACCACTCGCCATAATTAAGTGCATCAGGATAATGCGCTGTGTTGCCGATGATAAATGTCAGTTGCTCTCTTCTAAATAAGCAAAACCACGAAAACTCTTATTATTGCTGCCTATGTAACTGTACAGCAATCAAAAATTATATTGCTGTAAATACCAAACCGTTGAAATTAAACGCATTCACCAAGCAAACAAATCCAAGATATCTGTTGGTATTTTAGTTGATTTGTTGACTCCCCCGTTTATTAAGCCCCAAATTTATCACCATTAGAATTCGTGCACCCAAGGTTACGTAACGGTAGCTTTTACAGTACCGGATTTGTCGATGGTTTGAAATCACTTTTTGAAATGATTTTAACTTGTCCTTCAAGACAACACTCCTATCCAAAATTGTCATGCGTCAGTATTGAATAGTTCTTCCGTATATCCAGACAAGCCCTGCACAGAATACGTCTGTAGCCAAGTTGAAGCATATTCCTCCGAATACCTCGGATACAAATGCAATCGAGAATGTACTTGAATTTTTTTGAGAAATATCTCTTTTAAACTCAATTTGCTTACCGTCAATTAAAGGTCTTCACATTTCCTTTTTTGAGGATTAGACATCATCCATCGATCCATAATAAAACCTTTGGGCATTGAAAACTGAATTTCATCCCTCCTCACTGAACTGCGGCGAGTAGCGAATCGTAATAGAAATTAATTCGACTTAAATTAAACCAGATTTTTGGAGTATTTTGTAAAAAATTAGCACATAAAGTAAAGACCCAGTGAAACAGCGATTGGATGAATTAGTACTATATTTAAATGTGCTTTTTCTTCAAAAATTTAATGCCCTATTCTCTTATCCTAATTGACGCTTTTTGTCTCCCGTAATTGGTGGTTGTGGCTGCTTATTAATTGGGTCCTGGGACTTTAGCATCTATTCAGACACTTTTCACCAATCTGTAAGAGCGACATGTTTGCTAGACCCAGCCTTACCGTGGAGTCAGCACGGCAGTCAAAAATTAATCCAGACAACCTGCATCTGTTACCTCACACTACCCGAATGCAGAAACCGCCGCAAAAGGCTGTGGTTGCTGGCTCGGCCCCCTCCGAAAAAATCGGGAAATTCAGCGGGGAGTTGGAACAGAACTTGTTTACTAAGCTTTAGTTCCTCAGTACAGGTAGATGCATCGTGATTATAAAATCGAAAAAACCAAAAATTTGATATTTTAGGGGTTTTTGGAGGCATTGGGAAATGCTTTGTAATCATCCAAACTAGGGGGTGCTAGCGTTTCCTTTAGAACTCTTGGTGGGTAGGTAGAAAGATGGATAGGTACGTAGGGATTAAAGTATTGTGTCGGATTAACTTGGGACAAACACACTGTAACGGGCAAGCAAAAAAGCAAGAATGCACGAAGTTAGAGATATAACGTTAAATTAGGTGAACGGAAACCGTAAAATTGTGGACAGTTGGGTAACGACGGAGGTAGGCTATAAGACTTGACAGTCACAATTACTTAACACTTAACAGTGGCGCCGTAAATTCCAAGGAAAGCTGAAAGCATCGAAAGAAGAAGAAACAATGCAAGCTCATTGTTTAGGGTTTCCTGGCAATTTGCGGAGTTCTATCTGACCCACCTCAATCGGAACTTAAGACAATGCAACGAAAACAATTAAGCAGGTTGATTGTAGGCACTAGATGCAGTGAGAGAACTTGTCATTCACAATAAATCGTCGAGCACTTGAATTATTACCACTTCGGTGATTTATACGGTGTGCTTGTGTATGAAATACACTGAATCGTTGTAAATTAGCAAAATAAGTTTGATCAACGCAGCCCCCGTCGCTACCCTAATGCAGGCTTGGGAACAGTCTGGAGGAAGCCACCGAATAACATTTGACCGAAATTCCCGCCACATGATACCCCTTTTCAAGAGGCAGAACCCCTTGCTGACAGGGAATTCAGGGCACCTTTCGATAGCCAGCTATCAACATCAGCAACATTTACACCATGCATAAGTTTTGTGCATTAAGGAGGTATATCATAGAACCGATAGTGAAAAAACCTACAATTGAGATTATGAATTCGTGTCAAGTCGGTATCTAATCGACGGGGATTTCAGCCGACCAGCCATCTCGTGGCTTCTTCAGTTTTCACAGCAGATATGCAGAACAGAGCCCGCTGGCTCTTACCCCATAGGACAAATCCCATTTTGACTCCATGTACCAAGGCGCATATTTTTCCCTAGACTGAAGTGATGCTAAAGCGAGACTCCCAGTAAACTACAGGACCACCTACTCACTGCTACTGGTCGGAAAGCGTGAATTTAATCGCTTAGATCTGCCTCCAAGATGTTAGGTTTTGTGTTGGGATCATCTCTGTTTCAAGTCTATTTGTCACCAGGCTACTTTAAGTAATTACAGAATTTGAGAGACCTTGATGAGTCAAAAATACATGTAAACTCCATCACTTGGAATTTTGGAGGTTGCTAATGAATATGAAATTACCAAGGAGTCCAATAAATCAGGACCATTTCTAAATCGAGGTGGCGATGTTGCCAGGCAGCCGAATTTGACAGCACCGATTACTACGAGGACCTGTCGCAAGGACAACCAACGGTGCGATCATAAAATAATTTACGCCGCTGTTATTGTCACCAGGACAACCAGATTGTTCTGGGATCATAAAGCACACAACCAACTACTGCGTTTTAATAACTGCTTCCAGTATATTTGATTTATTTCAATAAGCTATCAGGGATGGCATTTAAATTGAGTGCCCCAATAAAATGCGTGATTCGATCTCTAACCGAACCAAATTCAGGCAATCCAGATGGCTTCCGAAATTCTCGTAACCGTGACCGGCAATCCACGAGAAATAAGAAGTTTAGGCTTCGCTTTTTGGTGGCTGCTAAAGAACTCGAAGACTCTTGCTGCGCATAGTTTCTGAGCCACAAATGTCAATGGAGATGACCACTCCAAGCCATTTGGTCTTGGCTAGAAAGTCGACAGAGCTAGTTGCAGTCCAAATGACCACCTTGTGTGCACCATGACTGTTGACCAGATGATTAATTGAAGCCAACTACTCGGAGAGATGTCGCCTTGTTTTCAGATTGACCCTCACTAACTTTTAGTTATCGTTAACACATCGGGCTTCGTTTATTCGATTGCTCATGAGTGGCTGGCGGTAGGCTTTCAAGTTCTTAAAGTAATGGTAAAGTTTCAAACAGTGACGTACTTCACCTCATATCACCAGAAAACCTAGATTGATATGATGCAAGTTTTAAAGTGTGCGCAAAATTTACGGCTCAGTCGAGACATCGTTCAAGGAGGGTCTGCATGTGTTTGCCTTTATCTTGCACCGGTACTGAGGTGAAATAATCCAGAACATTTCAAACCAGACACGTAGTCGAATTAGAAGAGAGGGTTAAAGCTGGGGCCAATCCTGGTGGACCAATTCGTGGCACGCGAGACATCTCCAAACGGGCACGTTCTGTTAAACAATCAGATGACCCAAGATGATAGGGGCAGTGACAACTGGCGAACCGACCGCCTTCATCACAAAGTGCTCAAGTACAATTGGGCAGCGCATTTGGGTTTCCTGAAGGGTCCAATCCGGTTTTCAAACTGTCGCATTATTCCACACCCGGTTACTCCGAAAGTTGCAGGTGTTGTAGCAAACAAGAATATTACTACTAAAAATCGGTCACTGTGCCATTTGCAAATAGCAAAACTTTGATTCGCTCTTGTTAAAGGTTAGATGTTACAAACAAAACACGTAGTTGCCAATCGCGTTCCGTTTGCTCTGTTTACATAAACATTTTAATCGATACAAACCTCTGTGCCAACATTTTTAAATAACGTTAATGACAAAAGAAATCGATTTGTCCTAGTGGGATCAGCTTGTTGCGATACCCTGTCCGAGTATCTGCCTATAAAATTGTTTAATGGTCCTTCGACGTGCGATGAATCGGGGATAACTGAAGTAGCGATGAAAGGGGAGGGACGAGCGTTATCATGACTGTGTCCCCGTCCCTTTGCATCCTCAGTTGAATTATTTGGGCTTTCGGAATAGACACCTCGTGTCTAACGACAAATCCAGACCCCGAAAGGACGCTGGTAGCACGACGGTGAAGAGGCAAAAGCACATGAAAGGCACCGCGCCAGGTGTGGAACCTCGTGGGAATTTTTCGAGCAGGTTAATCAACACTGGTGTCTAGACGGCAGGATTGAAGAGAGCCAAGCCCTCTACTATCACCCGACGTCGCTCTTAGTCGCGAAGAGACGTTCTATCTTGCGCCTTCAGTAGTTTATTTTGTTTTTTTTTCTTAAAATGCCTCATTATATTGCATTTTATCAACGGATGGTTGATACAGCAAGTCGCCTATACTTCTTCTGAATTATGAGTCAAATTTCTCCTGTGAATGGTCATTTTTTAAACAAAATGGTTTTGTGGGATGATTTGATGCTAAGAGATTTGAAGACCCAAAAATCACAGTAATCGACTTCTCTACTTGGCTATCCCCGCAACAATTACGGACTTTGTTCCAATTAAGTTAAGTACCCTAGTCAAATTTGTCAAATGTTCACTGGCTCAAACGTGCAGTTGCCCATCACATAAGCTGGCTGTGCAATGGAACCATCCTGAAACTCCTGGAATAGATTTAAGTGCAAGGCTAGACTAGAGTTGGTGGTTTTATCGCCTTGGCAATTGTGGACAGGCGCCTGGACCTCTAACAGAGAATGGGCCGTGGTAGTTGCAGATCTACAGTCAGGAAGTCGCATCCTAACTGGCTTGAAGGGCGCAGACCAACCTGCGCATGCCAATCACCCTCTGCCTCTTCTTCTAACTTACGCTCGTTCCGTAGAGTACGGGTGCTGTGATTTTTTGTGGTGTGCAGTCGAAATTTGTGTTACGGGCACACCCCTAATGCTACCACGCACTACAGTTACTCTCACACGTTTGGAGCTAATTTGTTTGCAGCATTAGATAAATTAAAGAACAGGCTGTTTTTGCAACTGTCAGGTCTGTGTCAGCCCCTCTCTCCCCACTTGGCAACACCAATGTTCGATTCCAACTCATCAGTACACGCTGGTGCATGCTTGCAAGCAGGGGACTCCAAACACAGAGCAAAACTCCGGTTTTCCGAGCTCTCAACTTCGGATTTGGGGTGTCAACTACTTGCAGATGCACCTTTAATGCTTGCGCTCCAGTCAAGTGCCAGAGGGCCTTGTGGTCTTCAGGGCCAGGCCTCATCGAACTCGGACCGACCGCGTGGTCAGCGGGTCTGCTCGTGGTGGTAGTGGGCGTGTGCGTCCATGGAGGCGTACGCAAGTAGAAGCAGTGTACAAACACTCTGGAGTGCGTGTATACACGGAGAGAGAGCGCGCGCGAGAGAGAGATATCGGCCCATTTATTATAATGCTCCAGTGAATGCCGGGGTTGGCTATAAATTAGAGAAGCCCAACAGTGGTCCAGAGCCTTGTACACACCCAACATCTGCGCTTGTATTCCGGTCGCGTCACCACTTCTATTTCTTTTTACTAAAAATGACCATGTTAAGCGAGCTTGAGTGGATTTTGCCTATTGGATGAACAAAAAGACCAGCAGAATGTGATAAATTTACAAGGAATAGGGGCTAGCAATTTACATGACTATGCATGAACACATTAATGCAACAAGTATTCAATATAGCGCTTCACAGAAAGCAACTTAGATGGACGCGCTTCACATTTTAAAAATGACTTGAGCGTTAGATAAGCTTGAGGTAAGATTCAAAAATAAAACCCGATTTCTTAAATCCGAATATGTCTTGCCATCAAAATTATGACTTGTTATGTGTTAGAAAGATAGATTCAATACTAGGATAATACATTGATTGCACGTAAGTCTTCACAAGTCTGTTCTTTACTTAATCTAATTACACATTACAAATGAAAACCTGCTCTCAGTTTAATCGAAAACTTGTAAATAAGTTTAACTATCGGCACGTGACGAAATATTGACTGAGTAAACAACCCGCCATCGTTTTGGCAAGTAATCCCGGTCCTTTAAAGATGAAAAAATGCTGCTATGAATGGGTTGTGCGTTCTTTAAACTTAGAAGCGTCAACAGATCCGCCAATAAGATGGTCAATCGAAGCAATAACACCAGTGCGTGCGTAGTCTTCATATAGCGAGCCAGTAAGCATCAGTTGGAGGGTTAGTTTTTTCCCATGTGTCAACCGGGGCTTGCGTGCAAGTGGTTTTAACAACCACCCGACTGCCTATTCGTGTCGAGAAGAGGGTTTTTATGGTGCTTAGGTATACCGGAAACTGGAGATGCTACTGGTATAAACAAAATTTCCAGCTCAGACAATTTAGAAACAGTGAGTTTCCCTCAGCAACATCTTTAGATTCTTACCTTCACAATGGACTGTGTTCAAACCGCTAGAAAAATTTGCGAGCGACGAAACGTCCGTAGATTTGTTCGCATTTCTTCTTGAGGCCGATCCACTAAGTGATTGGTAGTCTATTTCTTAGCACTTCGCGAATGGGAACTCCTGAACTCAAGCCCATAAAGGCTTCTTCGGCGCTAAAATTTTTGCCAGTTTTCATAAAATTTCCAGCAATGGTCATAATTTTGCCCGATTTAAAACGATTAATTCAATCTAGAGACATCATAAAATTACACAAATTTTAACAGTCTAGGAATAAGTGAGTTCACTTTTCACAACATAAGAATTGGACAATTTCACCGGACAGTTACTAAGTAATGGGTGCAAAATACCCGTGCACTCGGGGGTCGATTAGGCTTTTTCAGTATTTCAGAAAAACTAGCGTTAAGGTAAACTTCCTGTCGCTATATTGCACAGTTGATTGTATGCTATCAAGATCTTACCCAAATCACTTGATTATCATACGACTGACAGCAAATAAGCATTGTGTCCCATTAATGTGACTAGACACCAGCCATAAATTTGATAACCCCACTAATGTCAAAATTTCATGCACGCTCACGTGTTGGTATATTAATTGGTCTGCGGAAAGTGTGCGCGTGTGCATTTAGTGAGGGCCAAGGCTAGCCGCGCATAGCATTGTATAAAATTACTTAATCAGCTGATCCGAGAATAAAACTGATCCTGAGTACGAATAAACATAAAAAGAAATTCAATCGCGCAGCTATCTGCTGATTGGTTTTCGCGTGACAGGCGATAATGCGCGTAAACCAATGATATCGCTGTAATGGGGCAGGCCGAATAGTTGCGCGTGCTTTTGATTCGCCAGACCACTTAACGAATGGCTATCGCGTGTGGTCGTTAACTTTGCGCAATCATGCACGTACGCACACAGGCATGTCTGCGCGCGATGGAGATAAAGTTTACCACCGGCCCTTGCACATCACCCCCTCCTCCGAGTGCGCTACCTCTTTCATTCAGAATTCTAGTCACCTTGTTCCCCCACCGTGTGTGTCTCTCCTCTCTTCTCCCGCCCAGTTTTGCGCGTACGCACGCCCTTACGTCCGGTCATAACACACACAGCATTTAGAACCCGTCTTTCTCTCACTTGCACGCACTTTCAATCTTTCTCTTACTCTCTCAATAAAAAAATGTCTGTGTGTGGTGCGTGTGTTTGGTGTTATTGTTATTGCTGCAGCAATTAAAAGGAGACGCGCACACAAGTCACGCGCGTGCACATAAGTCGATTGGTCAAGGGCTTGAAATGCTCGCAATGCAGACAAACTACCCTCCTTTACCTCCGGAAAATGAAGCAACTGCCACGGCTAACCCACCTACAACAGCCAATGCTGGTGCTGGGCGATATCACCCACCGACGACCAACTCCGCATCGTTTCCTGGGTCGTCCCCGATCGACGCATCCTTCCCACGCGGTGCCCAGGCCAACGAGGCGTCGGCCTCACTCAACGAAGTTCTGCACCGATCGCTAATGGCTTCTTCCTTCACAGCTAACGAAGCAAATGAACAGACCATTCCGAGAGCGCATTCAAATGGAAAGGCCTTGGATCTTAATGCTCTGCGTGAAGCAGCTAGTCGTGAGAAGAAGCTATTTGACAGCAGCATGAGCAGTTATGACTTCTCTCTTCATATGGCCCCTGCGCACCCCCAGTGGACAACGCACCCGGATAACCATCACACTGACATGCCGCCAAAATCGGTGCCAACTCAGGAAACAGGCGCTAACTGTAGTGCCAAACTTGGTTCCTTCTCACCGAACGTTAGCATGCTCCCCTACACTAGCGCCGGGTCAACCAAAGACCTGGACTACTTACTAGCAGCGAATGCGGCACGAGCGCTAGTTAACCACTTCGGTGGCGGTGGTGGCAGTGGCAGCGGACCCCAGTCGACTGACGACAGGGCGAAGTCCCCCTCGATGGGATTCCGAGAGATGGTGAATCCCCACATCTCCCCACAACAGCCGCCGGCATCAATGGAAACCTTGTATGCCCACCAGCGACATCCCTCAGACAGGTCGAGTCCTTCTCGGAGCCCCTTTGGAATTCCCTCCCTTGGAGCGGGTGGCGGGGCTCCACCGAATATGTCCGCCCCATTCACCACCTCACCGCTCTCCTTCCCTGTTCCTCCCCACTTTCGTCAAAACCACCCCCCATACTCACCGCATCCCCACCACTTGCTTCCTCCTAACCCATTCGGGGGACTAGACCCGGGCTTCGCGGACCGCATGAAGGACTACTCCACGCCTCATCACCTCATGGATCCCAGGTACCCAGGCACTGGCGCCATGTCGAGGCTCCCTCGTTCGACGTCGCCAGTTGAAGGCGAGGGACGCAGTGGTCTGATGGCAGATTCCGCTATGAGCGATGCTTCACCAAACAGCTCGACCAGCGGAAAGTTCGTGTCTCCGCACAGTCAAGCCGGTGGAACTCCTAACAGTGGAGGCAACATTGTTTTATACCCCTGGATGAATCCGAAAAGTTGTGGTAAGTGCCAATATGAGTCGCTGCATTTTGATATGGCTCTCTTGTCTTGGGACCCAAATCAATGATAACATCTCGGGAACTTAGCCTGAAATATTTGGACAGTAGAGTCACTGTAAACGCGATAACGTTCTGCGTTAATGCTGAAACCAGTATCGGTAGTTTTACATAATCCACTGCTGATATTTTTGATTAATTTTCTGTCATTAATTTTTCTGGCTTCCATTAATGACTTTGGGGCGGTCATAATTCACCGCTGTAACAATTCGCGTCTCGGTATCACATAAATTACACTTAGTTTAAGCGTTGGAGCTGAATCATGCATACAAACAGTGAAAACGCGAGAGGAACCGTCAAGATGATGACCGTGAGAATCAAGGTTGGTCGTAGAGGGTGGGGTGCGTGTATTCGTGGATTAAGGAAGGTGCAGAATGTGGGTCTTTTATTATAAGGCCTCAGAAACGGTAATTCACGCTCCTGCAACACTACAATAAGCATTCAAAGACGCAAACTCCTCCAAAAATAACTCTGGCAGCTCCACGTACACCCTGACTAGGCGCAGCAAGCCTTCGCCGTAATGCGCAGCCTGAGTTGTGCTGACTTTTCACCAGACCAGCTCCTCTTCGCATTTGCACCAGTTAGTGACACATGCGATGGGCAAAGCTCGCACGGTCTGTAGGAAGCTCAACTTCCCTGCATGGTAAAGTACTTTAGGCGAGACTAGTCTGAGCAGCACGTTAGTGGCGTTTATATCCTATGTCTAGCCAATGCAGTGCTTGCGTCGGTTGTGTTGGCAATAGATGGAGTGACTTAGAATATCACCGTCACGCTATTTGGTGACTGATTTCCCAACGTCCTGATTTCGGTGCTAAGATAGTGCCTAAGTAAGCGCCTACTGAGTGCCTGTAAGAAGCGCTACTTGAACTAATTGAGCTGTGTACCTTAAGAAGACGTGGCAGCAGGTGGCAAACACCAGTGGTTACAGGAAGTTTTGTGTCATTGCAACACGGGAAACAGTTACAACCGGCAATTATTATTATTATCTCGCTTCATTCTTTCAACAGAGAGAATTCATTAAAAATGATCTCGCTCTAGTAAAGCAGCAAAATCTGCGATACATCATTATTTCTATCGCGCTCCCGGTTGTCTGGTGATATTCGCTATGCACAAAATTTAATCTCAAGGACTAAATATGTTTCTTGCGGAAGGCAACCCTTTTTTTATCTACACGAAGCTCCTTTAATTGGAAATTCCAACGTTCTTTATCGGCAAAATTAAACGCTACCTCTCACAAGGGAAATTATTCCAATGACCCTCGTGCTCTTAGTAATTAGCTCAAAGTGGCATGAATCTGAGATGAGTGAAACCAATGTCACCAGATGCTGAGAAAAAGCCTCAACTCCCACAGCGATTTTCCTCGTTTGAGCGCCATCCCTGCCGCGCTATCCCAGGGGAAAAATTCGTGTGTGCAGGAGGCTTTTTGGAGAACAGGAGTGACAACCAGTTAGGCGAAAATATTTGATGCGCATTATAAAATATTTTTGGTGGTATCGGCGGGAATTCGATTTATCCCACGATGTTTAAGGCGCATAATTGGGTATAATGACGTTGACACTCTCCATACTAGGATTTTGTTGGAGGAAACTTTAAGATTTTTGAACTGTGGTCGGATAAACGTTTGGTCCTGCCTTATCACTATAAGTGGTAATTAAAAACTTATGTGCTTATTGGTAGTGATAAATGCAAAATAGGAGTATTTGGACATTCGTTGTTTACTACTTATGTCTAATGAGTAATATAAGTTTAGTCCCGCCAAGGTCTCCTCAGACGGATCCTATCGTCCATTCCGTTCTCACCTCGGCGATTTTTCTTTTAAAAATATTTAAATAAGGTGTTGCCAAATAGACTAATGCTATATTTTAGTACTTCTATGGCAAGGAAATGCTTAGCAGCACCGCATTACCATTCGTGAGCCCAGACGACGGTGCTACTGGGTTAACCTGTTTCGTAGTTTTTCAAAGGTACAAGCTGATTCGTCCTCCCGGAATTAGCCAAAGCTAATGTCTGTGGTACTGTACAATGGGAAACACCAGCGGTATTGGTCATGTTACGCGAAAATGCGGGATGTTTAATCGGTGCCAGCTTTCTCATTCGAAACGATGTCGATGTAGAAGGCAGTTTTGCCCTTTGACTTGATTTCCTCTGCGGCTTGTCACGACTAGCAATTTAATTGGGGCTGGAGCGATGTGGGGATTTGAAGTGGCGCGGTCAGACCCGTAGACTTTTCCACTCCGAAGCAATTACGAAGTGGCATTGCTTTGTTGACTCTAAAAGACTCATTCCGTGGGTAAAATGAGACCTTCTTCGGCTAAAGACGTCAGCAAAAACAGTCTACACGATTTTTTAGGCAGCCATCTTCTCTGGAACCTGGTGTTTGCGTGATGGTAAATATAAGTACAGCTGAATAGAGAGGCAGAGGACGCGGTTGATTAGTTTGTTGACGAGTTTCGGTCCAGCACGCAAGGACGCCTGCTGCCTGTTTGGTCGCGGTGGTGGGGTGGGGTGG